ATTGGATTGTTGTGACAAGGTGGAGACTATGATGAATTAATCTTTTTAAATTCAGGAGAAAGCCCAGAAATTTTTAAATTTGGATAAATCTTAATTTACTACCCTCAAGTTTCTTGGTTTTCAACATTTGGTATATGAAGTTTTTTTTCGTCCCAAAATCATACCTAAAGTGTTAATTTTGGGACAGTCTCATACATCCATTAGTCTGCCTGTTAAGTCTCTTGTTAACTGGTGATGTGGCACCAATGTAGACAATAACTGAGCACCACGTGTCATTAAGGGTCCACGTGGAAATTAAGATTTCGAACAAAAAATTTTTTGGTCGTTTTCTAGCTCCCCCGACCTTCCCTTCCTCTCTTATCCCTCCATTTTCTCCTCTGCACCAACCCACCAAACCCTCATCTCCTCTCCTCTTCAACTCGTCATACATCCACCCTTCCCCTTCCATCTCCGACTCCACCCACCTTAATCACCGAAATCTTTCAATTTTCAAAAAATTGAGCAATGGTTTCTTGAAATGCAAACATGTAGAGGCTTCACCACCGCCGCAATACATCCAGCCGTTAACATATCTGTTTTCTCAGGTTTTTTCGTCCCGTTTGGGTACTTAAATTTCTTGCAAATGTCTCAGCCTTTCTCTGCAAATACCTCAAAACCGACGGAGACCACGAAGAGTTCTTACACAAATTCTGGATCTCCTTCAAGAACATCCAATAATTTGATTACAAAAGCAAAACCTAATTGCCGGAATCCAAAATTAAAATTACCAAAAGCTAAATCTTCTAGGTTGCATAACTACCTCCTGTAAATCCTACTTCAAACTGAAAAATTCAAGCAAAACCCAATTACCCAACTGCCACCTGCAAATCAAACTAAAAAATTCAAACAAAATTCAATTACCCCAACAACTTCTGCAAATCATAAAACTTAAAATTGGGCATGTGGGAGGACAGAAGAACTCGTTAGCTTGTTCACTTTGTGAACCTTCTCGTTGCAAGCCTAGCACAACGTTATCCCGTCAGCACAGCAGAGGACACCGCCACTTCTCTGGGCACCCCTATTTAGTCTAGAGTTCTGCTGCGACGATCGTGTGCTCTGCTGCATCGTCACCAAGCTTGCCCTTAAATGCGTCCGCATATCCATCAGCGTTAGCGATGAGGAAATGTGAGTTCCGCGATTGGATGCTCGCAGTGATTTGACAAGGGGGAAGGCTAATTGGATGCTCACGGTGGTGATTTGATGAGGAAATGTGGGTCCGGCTAATCTGGAAGAAGAGGTGGCCGGAGGGTGAGGTAGGAGATGAAGGTTGGGTGGGACGCAGAGGAGAGAAGGGATGAGGGGATTGGGGATAGATGGGCGAATCGAACTTCCTTTGGGAGGAAGACGAGAGTAACAAAAAGGATTATTTATTTTTTTCTAAATTTTTTTTTTGTGATAAAAAAATGTTTTTTTTTTTAATTTTTTAATGATCACGTGGACCCCTTAATGACACGTGGCGCCCAGTCATTGTCCATGTGGGCGCCATGTCATCAATTAACGAAGGTTCTAACGAAAAACTTAACGGATGTATGAAAGTGTCACAGAATTGTGACTTTAGGTACCAGACTGAGACAAAAAAAACTTCATGTACCAAATGTTGAAAACTAAGAAACTTCAGGATAGTAAACTAAGACTAACCCTATATATTATATCAAATTTTATTAAAAAAAGTATATAAAATATTTGAATTGGGATAAGGGCATTTTAGTAATCATACTGGTTTATATTTCGATTCTGCTGAATTAATAAGCAGCTTTATGGAATTAGTGTCGTTTCTATTTTGATTCCAGAACATTTAAGTAAACAGCTTCGACAGGAATCTGATTCTAACTTCTCCTCATTCCAACTCCTCAATTCAATTCCTCTTATTTTCATAACGGTTACATAAACGCGCCATAAGTGTTATACACTTAAACAGTAAGTCGCTCCCTGGTTAGACCCTTAGACCTCGTTTGGCACACCGTATAAGATACCGGATAATATTATATAATACAAAAACAAGTTTTTGGTGAGTTTTCGTGCTAAATAAGCTGCAGATTATTAATCCGGCCCCACCCATTTTGTCTCCCTTACACCCACTTGTTTATCTTGTTCAAAACCTTGGTATTATTTAGTTGGGTTCACGGAAACAAAAACACACAACTTTTTTCCAAGCCATCTCGCCATTTGCTCTGCACATCACTAACTTCTCAAGGTATTATTTCCCTCCCTCTTTCTCCATCCCCACCTCCAATCAGTATCCAGCATATTTCAAATGGTATTTTTTCTCTCCCTTTTTCTCCATCCTTACCTGCGATCAGTATCAAGCAGATTTCAAACGGAAAACCAGAGGTGGCAGATCGAACTCAAATCACGCCATGAGACATTATCTGAGTTTTTGGCTTAACTGTTCCTTGATTTTGTTGATGTGTGGTGATTAAACTCAAAACTGGGCAATATTTCATCTGGGTTTTTATTATTTCAAAATTTTCACTTTTTTTTTTGTTTCTTTCAGTGCAAATAAGAACTTCATTGAATTGTAGAGATTACTTGTGGAATTGTTTTTCAATGCAAATAGGAATTTCGTTGAATTTGGGAGGTTACTTGTGGTAATTTGGAATTGGAAGGATCAATGCTTGAGAGTGGAGTGCATAAGTGTTAATATTATTACTTTCTTTTCCACGAGACTGACTTATCTTTAATGGGAAATTGTTTCTATGTTTTTTATTTTTATTTTTATTTGTATTTTTATTTTTGAAATAATGTTTTTTATTTTTCTTACAACGATATATATTCACAAGAAAATTAAATTT